GAACTCAGTTTAAAATAAAGGAGGAAGAGAAGCGAGATTGTGGGCCAAGGAAGGAGAGGAGCTCTTAAGGGGAACATCCCTTCCTCCCTCCCCACGGTATTGGTTTGTTTCTGGATTTAGTTATTTAAACTATTTTTTACCCCTCCTTTCTCCTTAAAAGCAGCTTATGTTGTTAAAATAGGTACCATGCTTAAAGCTAGCAACAGGAAGTATACAAAGATCAAAGACCACACTGAAAGAGGGTCAGAAAAGCAACAGGGGGAAAAATACATTCAAAGCAGGAGACAGAACACAATCCATCAAAAAACCCCAACAATATTCAGGCCGCCAGTCACACAGGGAAAGCTTGGCTGAAGAGGAAGGTCTATTTGCCTGCTTGTGGAAGGAGAGCGAAGGGGTGATGGTGGTGGTTTCCAGCCAGGCCTCCAGTGGGAGGGAGTTCCACCGTCTCTTGGATATGGTTGTGCAGAGTCCAGAGATGAGAAAGAGGAGCTCGCCTGAGGGTGTGACCTGCAACACCCGTGGTCCTCGTGGCAGGTGGAGACAGGCCCACGGCAGCCACAGCCTCCATTAATTCTTTTTTAATGCATTGTAAGAATTTATTATATATTTAAACTTTGTTAATGCTGTAAGAAAAGAAAAATAAATATCTAAAAACACAAAGGGTTGTAAAGTTGTAACTGTTAAAACACCAGTCAACAACCACAAATTACATTTGTTTACTGGTTTAAAATATTTCCACCTCTTCCTTTCTCCTTAAAAAGGATCCAATGAATTATACAAAGAAATAAATTGAGAAACTCTTGACTCAAAAGCTGGTGTAAAACTACATTGGTAAAAAGATGCAAAACTCCACCTGTTTGTTTCTGTCCCTGTCGTTTCTAAAGTGAGGGTTTGACTCACATCAGGTAGGCCAGGCGGAGGCGATGGAAGGTTCCAGAAAGCAAGACCTTCTTAGCTTTTTTTTTTGGGGGGGGGGAAGGAAGAGCCTTTTAAAAGGCATTTGAAGAATTTTCTTTAAGAGGTGTTTGAAGATGGGGCTTCATCTGTGAGCCTTCGCTCACAGGGTTCACCTACATCGGAACAAACCTCGGAGAAGAAGGGGTGTGTGTGTGTGTGTGTGTTGTGTATGTGTGTTGCTGTGTACATAAGAGAACAGGCAAGGGAAAGAGAGAAGAGGGGGGGAGTCTGAATTGGAGACTAGAACAAAATGAACCGGGCCTCTCTGCTGGAATTTCCCGACTGCAGCAGCTTCGGGGTCACAGAAGTAACATCTCTTTGTCCGACGCGCTTCGGTCCCACCGGGCCGAGCCAAGCAGTAGATTTCCACTGGCTGTACGTGGAACAGATCCAGCCTCTCGCACCCCCCCCACAAATGCCGCCAGGAGAAGGCCGGCTGGTGAAGGGTCCCCTGGAATGGCGCCCTGGCGCCCTCCTGGGATCCTTCCATGGGGCCGTGGGGGCCGGTTTGCTGCCTTCCGGGACCCCCTGGACTCAAAGCATCCGTTCCCAAACTTCACCGGAGGTGGAGTGAATCCTTAAGAGGTAAATCGGCAAAACAGCTGCAGAAAGAATCTGTTCATCAACCCTTCTCTGCATCAATATTTGCTTTGGTGGCCTAAGAAAGCTTGTCTCCTGGGCGGTGGGGGGGGGGGGGTAAGAATATGCCAGGAATCTGGTAGGACAGCCTTGTAGGAAAGCAGAAATTTCAGGCTGTGAGCAAACCTTATAAACAAACCCAAATATGTTGTTTGTTTGTGCGTGTGTTTTAACTAGGTTTTATCAGAACAGAAGCCTCTCAAAATCTCATGCGGGGGCAGCCAGAGAGACCTAGAATTGGAGGGGGGAGAGAAAAGTCAGAGCAGAGACACTTACAGTTATTATGGGCTGTCTGGCTGCTTTCAATGCAGGGTGACCCTAGGAAGGAGCGACCTCCCAAACATCCCTTGCTTTTGAACTGCCCTGGGAGTCTCTTCTTCCAGCACTATCTCTTGCTATGTTGGAATATTGCCCCGGCCATCCAGTCGCCTCCAACTCATGGAGACCCTAGTGACTGCCAAAAGGCCTGGAGGTTCCCTTTAGGGAGTCAGTCCATCTTGTGTTGGGGGCTTCCTCTTTTCCTGCTGGCTTTCATTTTGCACAGCTTCGCCGCCTTCTCCTGCAAAACTTGTCTTCTAATGATAATGTACTGTATATACAGTACATAAAATTTTTTTACATCCCCCTCTGCCGTTTTCCTGAAATTATTTATATACAGTACATAAAATTTGTTTACATCCCCCTCTGCCGTTTTCCTGAAAAAGGACCGAAAGTGGGCTTATGTTGTTAAAAACACAACATTCAAAGCCGAACCATTTTTTGCCTTCTCGGGGGAGTTCAAGGCTCGAGTCGACCGAGTAACCACTTGTAGCTGCAAAGCTCTCCTCCAGCACTGGATCCTCCCCCGACCAGCTTCCTTCACTGTCCGGCTTTCGCACCCATCACAGGTACCCGAAGAGGCGCCTCTTAGCACATGGCCCCCTTTTCTTGACCTGCTTTGCTTTCTCATTCGGGGCATACCGTTTGGGCTGCTGGCACATTAAAAAATTGAGCCGCTGCCACCACGGTGTCCTCCAAAGACAAGGAGAAAACGGCTCCCTGCGCCGGCTGTAAATTTCCACCACAGCTCTGGGTTCCTGCCTGGGCCATGAATCAAAAGACATTGCCAGCTTTCAGGGAGAAAATCCCACTTCCTCGGGCTGAGCACCAACTGACCTTTCATAGGTAGACCAGAAAAACGCACATGGAGGAGCACTGTTTCTAAGTACGTTATGTGTATTGTTCGACGTGGCCTTCAGGCTGTGCCTCTCGATCCTAAAGTGGATTAAAATGGATGGCCTTATCCTAAAGGTCAATTGTTCCTCCGAGTAGCTCTAGTTCCAACCGGCAATAGCTCTTGCGGGTCTTAAGACCGACAACAGAGTGGCCTAAGCAGAAAGTCTGAGAACTCAATTTTTAAACCCATAAATGCACCTTTGTTTCCAGTCACTGTGTATTTTGGAAATGTAACTTTACTGGGACTCTATAGGCTATGCATAGCATTTGCTGGAAAAAAATATATTTCTACAATGTCATTAACAACATCAACCACCAAAGGGAACCAGAGACCATATTATGTATAGCATTCACTATTATCCACATTTCCCAGCATCTGCGGGGGCTTGGAACTGATCCCCCTGCAGATATGGGGATCCTCCTGTAATAATAAAAAACAGCATTTGGCTTTGTATTTTTATTTAGGGAGAGTTTTTCCTTATGCATTGAAAAACACTCCCCAGCTTTTTAGGGGGAAAATGCTAAAAAAATTAGGGAAAGCTGGCCAAGGGTTTGTAAATGCTAAACTTTGGGCAATGTTAAAGACCTTCCGTGTTTTTTAGAAAAAATCATTATTAATAAACAATTGTGCAGCTCAAGGCATTTTGCCTGTTGAACACTTTATAATTTGGGTCACAATCAAATTAGAAATAAAAGAAAACTGTGGATATCTTAAAAACAAAACAAAACCCGAAACCAAAAAAGGGTTGCTCTGATAAACAAGATCTCAAAACGCAGCTGTAAAGCCATCTGTTTTTTAAAACTTTCTTTTCAATAGTCATTAAATAGCTGTTCCAAACTCACAGAAATT